AATTAACAAACGCAATACACACATATATCAAGACGCTACAGATAACACAAAGAGCTAAAATCAAAAGAAAACACAATGCAAGAAACGCAAACAAAATTTTCACACTCTATAAATGCTTCACCATTTTTAAAAACGTATCTGCGTAGATGTCAAGATCAGGAAAAGAAAGCTCGTTATAAAGGTACTGGATCCTAGACATTGCCGAGGCATGGTATGATGTATTTCGGTAAAATGGCAAAAGAAACCTATGAGTACGAAAAGGTACATGAAAGTTCACAGATGAGAAGAGTGAAACACTATCAATTCTAATACAGATGACTTTATGCAAAAATTACAATTCACGAATGGTACGCCGTTTACTTAGCTCTCGTAAGTTAAGATATTTAAGTAGTGATTTGTAAATATAATAACAACGACGATTAAAGTATCTATCGTACGCAATTCGAACCAGACGCTCCGGAACTCTCTCAATTTCGTTGCAGTGATTCACAGAAAAGGAGTTCCACGCTACGGAACTGAATTCAAGTCTTGGTCGAAACAAGGAACAAAAAAAATGAAACAAACATCTGTAACTCGAAAACTCCCGCGTCATACGTGAAATGAGCCCCAGTACTGTAGGGAATTACCCACCATTGAAGTGACGTGTTCTTTGAATGAACGACGGCTATCAACGATAACGCCAAGGTCACGCATGGTGGTCACACGCTGAATCATTGTCGCATTCGGTAGCGTATATTGAAAAACAATCGGGTCGCACTTTCTGGACAAAGAAATAACTTTTGTCTTCTGTGTACTAAGGAACTATAAATTAGATGAGCAGCACACTGACACGGGGTCAGTATCCTGTTTTAGTAATAAACAATTGTCTAAGCCACGCACTGAGAAATAAGCTTGATGTCGTCTGCGAAAAGTAGAAGCTTAGCACTCTTGACAGCAGAGACAATATCATTTATAAAAATTAGAAAAAGGAGAGGGCCCAAGTTTGAGCCCTGTGGAACGCCCGACGTTGAGATGAAATGATCCGATAAAATATTCGATATCCGAACCGCGTTAGTACACGAAAAAAGGTACGATTCAAACCAAGCAAGATACACAGGACATAAACCATACAACCGCAGTTTTGACAATAGCAAAACATGATTCACCGTATCGAATGCCTTCGACATATCAAAGTACACAGTATCAACTTGCCCCTGGTCAAAAACAACTGCAGACGAGTAATTGAAGAATGTGCATAGGTTAGTCTCAACTGATCTCCCCTGAAGCAGTCCATGCTGCGCAGGATGGATTTTTTTGCGGAAATGAAAAGAAAGTCGCATTTGCGCCACAATTTCAAAAACCTTCGAAAACCTACACAGTAGAGACACAGGCCTGTAGTTGTTCACGTGGCAAGCAACTCCCGCCTTGAATATTGGAACTATAATAGCATCGTTCCATTGCTTCAGGAAAATACCAAGCTGAAACGATAAATTGAATATGTGCCGTAAAATAGGAGTCAGAATGTCCCCGCAACCCTTGATAATAAAACACGGGACTGAGTCAGCACCCAAGGACCGTTTCGATTTGAGGCCCCCAATCGCTCGCAAAACTTCGTCATCAGAAAGGAAGGCTATCATGAGTGTCGATTGTCGAACCATCATGTTGTCCCAAAGGTGAATGCAAGGAAAAGCATGAACTAAAGTGACCTGAAAAAATATCTGCAACCTTCTGACTTGAGGAATAGTAAACGGAATTGCCATGCAAAGTAATTCCTCTCTGCAACGCGCGAGACCCTCGTGACGTCACGTGCGACGTCATAATGGGAAACCTCCCATAATGCAACGCGTGGGTCACGAGTGAGACCCGCGCGTTGTATCATGAGACGTTTTTCATAATGCAACGCGCGTGACCCTTGTGACGTCACTCGTGACGTCGCATGTGACGTCATTATAGGAGACGTCCCATAATGCAACGCGCTGGTCACGAGTTAGATCCGCGCGTTGCATCATAGGACGTTTCCCATAATGCACCGCGCGGTTACGCCGACAACGACGGCGACGCCGCTCAAACCGGAAACGGGCGCCTAAGAGCTGCGCGGTAAGAAATGTTTTTGCCAACTACATCAACAAAAAAAAAGAAGCGAGGATCCGCGTCCTCCGCCCTCCCCGCTTCCGCCGGTTTGGGTGAAGAGGACGGCGACTTTGACCAACTGTTTCGCACAATTGAATTTTTTATTGCCAATATATTTTCTTTTGTTACGGTTATATCCCGCCTCTTGAAGCAGAGAACACGTGAAAGTATTGATATTAGTGTTATCAGTGGCCCTAAAAGGGTAAAACGGCGTATAGAAAGCTATTAAAAAAAAAAAAGGAAAGGAAAGACAAACATTTTTTCTCAGAATATTAAGAGTTTTATTGTCTGTTTGTTTGTTTGTTTGTTTGTCAGGGGTGCAGTGTACGAGCCTCTGAGCCTGCTTAATGCCCACCAAACTTTCAGCAACATAACTGAATAGATAAACTTAGCCTTAAGACAGTACATTTCGGGGGTCCTGCGTCGATTCCAGAATCACCGCGCATTTCCAGTGAGAGAGAACGAGGTTCCTGTTGCTTTACCTTTTTGCCAATGCTGTTGACTACTAAACAATTTGTTAAGGGCGGCATGTGTGAGTGCACACTACGTGGATAATCTCTCTTTACGCAGGTAGTCCAGGTATGTTTGGACTTCCTGGACTGCCGGGTCTTAAAGGACCGGAAGGGCCACCTGGGCTCCCCGGTCCTCCCGGTATCACAGGTCCTACGGGCGTCGGCATACAAGGTATAGCTCGATGACTGTTCTTAAATTGTTCCTCACTATTTACACAGTCCTCTAATCCACTGATTCTCAAATGGGGGTCCTCTCAAGTGGGGGTCCGCGGACCCTTTGGGATCCGCGAAGGCATTCGAGGGGTCTGCGAAGTCCTGCCTCGTCAGTCAAGCCCGGCAAAAAAAAAAAAAAAAAAGTCGTTTTTTTACCAGGTCGAGAAGAAATGTTTCAGTTTGGGGCGAGTTTCCTCGTGTGTACGTCAATAAGAAAGGTGTACTTTACACTAGCCCTTAGTTAAATGCATATTAAACCATTATAATATTTACTCTATACCTTTCCCCTCCCCTCACCACGAACGGGGACCTCCATCGTCCCCGCCGATCCACAAGGGGTCCGCGAAACATCGACGGTTGAGAACTACTGCTGTAATCTATACAACTTCCTCGTTTATTTCCATGGTTATATCACTCTAAGTTAGAGTGTACCTTTTTTGCACCTTCGGGGCTTCTTCAACAAATCTCCGCATTAATAAATAAAAAAAAAACATTTGTAAATAAACTGGTGCGCCCCTAGCGGCGCCCATGCGCGATGGAGTGGGGACAAGACGGGTGGCGGCTCCCACCAACAAACCATTTGGACGCAAAGTTGTTGGCGTCGGTGTGAGTCCCCGTACTCCCTTTTTACGTTGGCATTACTGATTCTACATCTTCCTAGCAACGTCTGATGACTTTCGTGGCCTCGGCAAAGTGAACAATATTTTGTTAGACTGCAAAACGTAGTGTGAATAATGTAGATTACATTCCGCGTCCACGCCGCAAAATGATGGTGCAGCCTGATTCACATGATGAAATTCTGCTCGCTATTTTCAATCGCAACATCGCTCGGGTTAAGGCCCCTATTAGCAGTTGCGTTTGAGAGCGTTCGAGTGCGTTTGAATGCTTTGCGACTGCGCGAGAAACCAGGACACCCCTGCTTCTTATGTGGCTTGTCAAGCTATTCCTTGAATTGAATTCCACGCTTCATACGAAGCACAGATGCGTCGGCGACTCACTTTCGTTTCTCGACGCACAGTCAAATGCACTCAAGCTCTCTCAAACGTAATTGTGCGTGGAAGCCTTTACAAAAAAAAAAAAAAAAAAAGAACGTGGACGGTAATTGTAATGCGTAACGTCGATACTGAAAAACGCATACAAAATCGGACTATGTGAATCAGGCAAAACAAGTCGGTGATCGTCACAGGTAAGAATGATCAACATCTTCTTGTATCTACTGTTTATACGGAGCCTATTTGCCCCAAACAACTTTCAATACAAAAAGTATTTTGATTCGTGCACTTACTTTTAATCGCAATTACCGCGTCAACAGCGGTTAGTCTTTGGTGTGGTCTAGGGCCCATCGTCATTTTGACGAGCAGACAGTAGTTTGACGGAGCAGACGACAGTTTGAACGAGCGGACGACAATTTGAAGGTGAATGCACACTGAACGTGGTACAGGAGGTCCGGAACAACTTTGAAATGGCTGACCAACTACACCAACGTTACGCCGACAACGACGGCGACGCCGCTCAAACCGGAAACGGGCGCCTAAGAGCTGCGCTGTAAGAATTTAGAAATGTTTTTGCCAACTACATCAACAAAAAAAAAAGAAGCGAGGATCCGCGTCCTCCGCCCTCCCCGCTTCCGCCGGTTTGGGTGAAGAGGACGGCGACTTTGACCAACTGTTTCGCACAATTGAATTTTTTATTGCCAATATATTTTCTTTTGTTACGGTTATATCCCGCCTCTTGAAGCAGAGAACACGTGAAAGTATTGATATTAGTGTTATCAGTGGCCCTAAAAGGGTAAAACGGCGTATAGAAAGCTATTAAAAAAAAAAAGGAAAGGAAAGACAAACATTTTTTCTCAGAATATTAAGAGTTTTATTGTCTGTTTGTTTGTTTGTTTGTTTGTCAGGGGTGCAGTGTACGAGCCTCTGAGCCTGCTTAATGCCCACCAAACTTTCAGCAACATAACTGAATAGATAAACTTAGCCTTAAGACAGTACATTTCGGGGGTCCTGCGTCGATTCCAGAATCACCGCGCATTTCCAGTGAGAGAGAACGAGGTTCCTGTTGCTTTACCTTTTTGCCAATGCTGTTGACTACTAAACAATTTGTTAAAGGCGGCATGTGTGAGTGCACACTACGTGGATAATCTCTCTTTACGCAGGTAGTCCAGGTATGGATGGACTTCCTGGACTACCGGGTCTTGAAGGACCGCAAGGGCCACCTGGGCTCCCCGGTCCTCCCGGTATCACAGGTCCTACGGGCGTCGGCATACAAGGTATAGCTCGATGACTGTTCTTAAATTGTTCCTCACTATTTACACAGTCCTCTAATCCACTGATTCTCAAATGGGGGTCCTCTCAAATGGGGGTCCGCGGACCCTTTGGGATCCGCGAAGGCATTCGAGGGGTCTGCGAAGTCCTGCCTCGTCAGTCAAGCCCGGCAAAAAAAAAAAAAAAAGTCGTTTTTTTACCAGGTCGAGAAGAAATGTTTCAGTTTGGGGCGAGTTTCCTCGTGTGTACGTCAATAAGAAAGGTGTACTTTACACTAGCCCTTAGTTAAATGCATATTAAACCATTATAATATTTACTCTATACCTTTCCCCTCCCCTCACCACGAACGGGGACCTCCATCGTCCCCGCCGATCCACAAGGGGTCCGCGAAACATCGACGGTTGAGAACTACTGCTGTAATCTATACAACTTCCTCGTTTATTTCCATGGTTATATCACTCTAAGTTAGAGTGTACCTTTTTTGCACCTTCGGGGCTTCTTCAACAAATCTCCGCATTAATAAAAAAAAAAAAAAACATTTGTAAATAAACTGGTGCGCCCCTAGCGGCGCCCATGCGCGATGGAGTGGGGACAAGACGGGTGGCGGCTCCCACCAACAAACCATTTGGACGCAAAGTTGTTGGCGTCGGTGTGAGTCCCCGTACTCCCTTTTTACGTTGGCATTACTGATTCTACATCTTCCTAGCAACGTCTGATGACTTTCGTGGCCTCGGCAAAGTGAACAATATTTTGTTAGACTGCAAAACGTAGTGTGAATAATGTAGATTACATTCCGCGTCCACGCCGCAAAATGATGGTGCAGCCTGATTCACATGATGAAATTCTGCTCGCTATTTTCAATCGCAACATCGCTCGGGTTAAGGACCCTATTAACAGTTGCGTTTGAGAGCGTTCGAGAGCGTTTGAATGCGTTGCGACTGCGCGAGAAACCAGGACACCCCTGCTTCTTATGTGGCGTGTCAAGCTATTCCTTGAATTGAATTCCACGCTTCATACGAAGCACAGATGCGTCGGCGACTCACTTTCGTTTCTCGGCGCACTGTCAAATGCACTCAAGCTCTCTCAAACGCAATTGTGCGTGGAAGCCTTTACAAAAAAAAAAAAAAAAAAAAAAAAAAACGTGGACGGTAACTGTAATGCGTAACGTCGATACTGAAAAACGCATACAAAATCGGACTATGTGAATCAGGCAAAATAAGTCGGTGATCGTAACAGGTAACAATGATCAACATCCTCTTGTATCTACTGTTTACACCGAGCCTGTTTGCCCCAAACAACTTTCAGAACAAAAATTATTTTGATTCCTGCACTTACTTTTTATCGCAATTACCGCGTCAACTGCGCTTAGCCTTTGGCGTGGTCTAGGGCCAATCGTCATTTTAAGTTTGACCGAGCAGACGACAGTTTGGACGAGCGGACGACAATTTGAACGTGAATACACACTGAACGTGGTACAGGAGGTCCGTACCAACTTTGAAATGGTTGACCAACCACACGCTGTATAAATATCCACACAACCCCAATTATTATTGAGGTCCGGACCACTTGACGGATTTTTGCCTTTTTGTAACAACAATAGAAAAAAATCTTACGACCACATGTCTCCGTGAATTTAGCCCAAGGTGTTTCCTGCACACGCAGTCGTGGTCCGACGGCGTCTAGTTTCTCCTTTTACGGCACCTGTTTCCGTTCTTGGTCAAGCCGGGCAGGCAGAAAGCACGTGAAAAATTATCTTGACACTTTACCTAGCTCCTTTGGTGCAGCGCCAGCCGGGCCGTTTTGATAAAAAAGGCAGGTTTTAGACGGGTTTCTTCCAAAATAACACAGCAATGCCCGGCCCGCATGATGTTTACCGCCCACATTCATGACCGGAAGTTCACTCGAAGCGCAACAGCCACGGTGCGACGTAGAGAAGTTTGGTTGGCGTATTGCAGGGGCGTATAAAGTTTTAACATCTTAGTCAAACATGTCGTAACAGAACAAGCGTACTAGGATAAGAAACAAAGACGTGGTCATCCTGAAAACTCAGGTCTTTTTATTGTGTTTTTAATATTCAGCATGGTGAAAAAATAATTGTAGGACTATATCTGGATGAACAAAATGGTTCACGCCGGTTTCTTATCTGCGAGTAATGTGGTAATCTCAACTGATTGAGAAACGGCAGATGCTACCTTCGATACAGGCATTTGGCTTTGTGGTTTATTTTACAACGAAGCAAGGGGCATAAAAGAGAACGCAGAGAAATAGGCATTTGAGGCACCTGCAGAGCATCGTCCTCTCGGTACTCTTCTGACGAATAAAAAAGTGTATAAGAAAGTAGAGCTGTGTCAAAGCTCGTTTTGTTTTGATGGAAACGAGGGCGCATATAGAAATAGTCTTGTCATCTGTGGTTGTTATAAACTTTTTTTTTCGTGTTCAGACAGTTGAATCAATTCGTTAAATTGAGAATTCTGGTATAAAGAAAGCTTTGCAAAATATAGGTTCCGACCATATAACACATTTTGTTTAAAAAAAAGAAAATCTCTGGCATGTTTATGGTTGCGACGCGAGTTATATTTCTTGACAATAATGCGCATTATCTGCTGCTTCCAACGCAGGAACGGCCGTCCCTGGCACGGATTCGTTCACCAGTCATCAAGACACAGTGGTGAGTGAAGGGCACGGTCATTTACTTGTCTGATGGCGTGCCTGTGCAGTTTCTTCAACTTCTGCTTTGTAGACTGATGCAAACCACAATAGTGTGCTTCAACTTTAGCCATATTAATATATATGATAGAATTCTTACGTTTCTTTTTGTCTTTTATCCAACAAACATAAGGTCCAGTTAAAAAAAATAAGCTAAATGTATTACCATATTTTCAGTATGCATTCATGACTTAGTGTTCTATTGATCGATACTTTCGCGCTTAAAGATGACCGAATATTATCTTTTTCTAATGAAGTTGAAACTTTATGGCATGCATTTATAACGCTTACTTGGAATTTGTTATGAGCCTGTAAGAAACTGATGGTTATTTTACACCACATCTTTAACGCACACATCAGCTTGTCTACACGGTGTCCACATTATTTTAAGCCCTCGTCAAATTGCGGCATCATTAGCTGGAATAGACCATTTGAAGAAATTTACAACCACCAGTGAGCATACCGAGTTTCTATAATAGGGTCTTTTCAAAAGTGCGTGCCGTCTACACTCTGTTCACCTATATTTTGGGTGCAAATTGTTGGTTGTAATGGCATTTATGACACACAAATTTGTTATCAGTTACGCTGTCCTCGGCAAGATCGTGTCCAAACTTTATTAAATCAAAATATAAATATTGCGTACCGCAACCTCTATAGTACGCGTTTTTGGAAACTCGCTTCGTGACGTCACATTACTTGCCCTGCCAGGCAGGCCGGCTTGGGCAGAACCTCTGCCCTGTCTAGGCTAGGGGGAGCAAGCTGCCGCCCGTTACATTGGGCATAGCCGCTAGCCACCCATCCAACCTCGGCCCATTCCGTGTTCGTCAAGCGTGCTCGTACCTGCTCGTACCTCGAGCTCGGTCCTCTGTTGAGATATGGCGACACGCGGCAACAACAGCAGTAGCAGCTAAAGCCGCTCTATCCTGGGAAAATTGGCGCCATTCATTGTTACGGAAATGCTCGAGACACGTGGCGCGTGCCACTTCTGGGAACTGAAGCCCCTGGGAACAACATCGCGTCTGAAATCTAGCTCAGTGCTGCGCTGTGCAGCCATGATCTTCCCAAGGGCTGCACGTTGCACGTGTCTCGAGCATCGGTGTACCTTGCGCTACTTTTGAAACATCAAGGGGCTTTAGCAGCAGCGGCAGTAGAATGCCGTCTGATTAAGAGCCCGAGCATGTACCAAGGAAGAGGCAAAGTGCTGCCGTACACCTGCGACCCGTCCGCGTTGTCGTCGTCGTAGTCACAGCGCATGCTCAAAACGATGCTCGAGGACAACTTCCTCTGGCAGTTCAGAAGATGCGAACGCCGCGCGAGCACAGCTGAGCACAGCACATGTAGTCATGAACATTCCAACCCAATATCGTTTAATGACCCCTTTAAAGGGACACTGACAGGGTATTCATTTTTCTTTGAACATACCCTGTAAGAGTCCAACTACCCAGAACATGATTTGCGGCTCGAAATTTGTTTCCTTTCAGCCCGAAAACAGCCGTTCAAGAATTGGCCGGCTCCAGCCGCGCTCACTCTCTTTCCCATGGTCACGTGGCGTTTAAACTATGTATGCGAAATACAATCGAAGCCGTGCGTCGTCTAAGGCAGACATTTATTATTAAAAATATAAAAGAATATGAATTCCATTTTTGTAGCCTCCAAAAAGCTGCGCAGGGTGTTTTCAGATAAGATCGAACAACCATGTCCGGTGAAAATTTCTAATTTTGATGAAAAAACTATATTTTGCTGACTCCATGCCCACGCGAATAAAACCAGTCCTTGTTTTGGTAAAAGAAAATTTGTCTCTACGACGAAAATTTGCAAGCACCCTTTCAGTCACGCGCGCGTTTTGCGTATCGCGCGATGTTGGCACTTTGGGCGGCTTCCCCCAAAACACTTTTCTGGTTACGAGTTTAGAAATATTTAAGACACAGGAAGTATTGACAAAAGTATTAATCACCATGTATTAGGGTCGTTATTTTGAGAAACGAAATCGCAAACAAGGCACATTGCGCAATAACGCTCTGGATTAAAGATTTTTTTTCTTTGGATCTATAAAAGCTAAGGTTTTCATACTTTGCCACTGTGTTTCCCGGTATATAGTTAATCTTTCCGTGAAATATTGTTGTCCTGGTTAGCAGGAAAAACTTACAAGAATCGCTCACACAGGGGCATTTAACTAAATATGCATTATTTTGAAAATCATTTTTAAAGGCCATTTTTAATATTCTTTAAATTATCCAAGATTAACGCTTAATATCTACTAACAAAGTGCAAAAACATAATGCAATATTGGTGTGGGTTTGAAGTTACAAAGCAAGAACTATGATCGAATCGACGTTAACGTGGTTGCCATAAATGGGGCATGCATATACCCGTTCTTAACCATTTGATTCTTATTAAAAGGCGTAAAAATGCTACGGGGTGGTAAGGCAAGGTCCAATTGACAGCACAGAGGTGGACGGTAGTTTTGAAGGAAGAATTCCTAATACATTTTCGTACAAACGACCTCAAAATGCCCATGGGCCGGAGCGATCGAGAGGCGCCTCTCTGTAACAGGCTTCGCGGTGCCTTCTTCAACAGCCGGCGTGTGGCGCCTCTGTCTACGCGACGTATGAAGGAAGTAACCGCAGTGACTTTGCAAACAGATCAGCCTAAAACCTTAGCGGTAACATGATATGGGAGGTAGGGCGCGGCAGAACCTGAACCTGCGCCTTTGAGCGCCAATAGATACACCACCGTCGCAACGCGTAGAAAATGAAGCTACTAAAAAAAGAAGTCTAATTGATTGAGATGGTCTGTTTTGGGCCTTTTCAGGTAGGATCGAACGACCATGTCCGGGGTCAACTTTTTTTTTTTAATTTACCAGAAGATGTATATTTTACTTGTGCAACCGCAAAAACATATTTGAAACTTTTTTTGTGGAAAATAAAATTCCAGTTGAAAAACAAAAATCACAAAGTCGCCGTCGATGTACGCGCACGTTTTTGCGACTTGCGTGATACCGTTCCTTTGGATATCTATATAAAAAAAAAGCTGTTGTCGCCTTAGGTTTAATATTTTTTTGTACAGTAAGTGTGCATAGAATAAAAGGAGGTAAACGTGTATTATCGATTACAAAGCAATTCATAGCTTTACGAATCCGTATCTTAAAAACCTGGAAATTCAAACTTTTTAACATGATCTGGACGCGTTTGTGCAATATACGGATAAATTGTTATTAAAATTGAAAACAATAACCTTTAAAAAATACACCGAATTGTAGACAGGTTAACGATTTTGCAATAATTGCAAACTCGGTTTAAAATGAAGGCCATGTTAATTTTTCTTCTACTTTTCACAGAGAAAGGCTCATGAGACGTTTCTACGCATTGAAGTTACGCGCTTTCCGTCCCTATCCTCGAACATGTGTTATCTCGTAGCTGAGCACAAAACCATCGGAACCTTCAACGGGCAACAATTCCTCTAAAGCCGCAGCCAGAGCCCCATATACTGGGAGAGTTTGGCAATCTTTTGAAGATTCCGACAGTCCAACAACCACAGCTGGAAGTAAGGGAACAAAGAGGTGACACCTTGGCTCCGCCATTTTGTGTTATCGAATTTTGAACCCACTCTAAATTAGGCACGCAAGGTATGCTGTGACTAGGGATGCCGCGAACTTTTTTCGAATCAAAGTTTCGATGATCGAATCAAGCGGTTCGAAAGGTTCGAAAGATTTCGATTTTTCGATTTGTCTATATCGTAAAATTCGACGGAGGTCGAATTTTCGAACTTGTTAAGCTAAGAAGTTCGACGCTTTTCGAACCGTCGAACTTATTACGCTAAAAATTCGATCTTTTTCGAACTTTCGAACTTATTGCGCTGCAAGGGTCGATGCTTGTCGAACTTTCGAACTTGACTGACCAAAAAATTCGATAAATTTCGAACTTTCGAACTTATTTATCAAGAGAATTCGAAAAGTTTCGAACTTTCGATTTCTGAAAAGTCAGAAGTTCGACGACTTCGAACTTTTAGGGTAAAAGTTCGACGTTCGTCGAACTTCGAAAGACCGGCGGACGGTTTCATTTGATTTCAAGTAGTGGGGTACATTCGTAATTTTTTTTTCTCGAACTTTTACACGCGGTGCTGCGTTCCTTACGAAAGACAATGTCGTTTATTTCAATGTTCTGGCATGCTTAGGTTTAAAGAAATAAATCCCCGAAGGGGCGAGGAAGGACGACGGGTTTTTGACGATTATCGTTTGTGCCAGATTTGAACCACGCTGCAGCCGGAGCTATTCATGGTAGATATGTTATACTTTTTTTAAGAATGATCTATGTATAGCCTAGGTAAGTGCCGTCTTAAGATGTGATTATTGTTATTCAACGTGAGTTTCGAAGAAATGTCCAAACATGTATCTGCATGCAATTATGACCTAAACTTGATATTTATTTTCGTCTAAGTTGTTTGAGGTATTGCATTTAAATTAACACCACAGACAGTACATATCATTGCCATCTGCAGAATACAAAATAATATATTTATTGTTTTTTTCACATTAAGGAATAAATAAACTGATGGGAGAAGATTTCTAGTAGTGTTCAAGTTCAGCACGTCATTAAAAGAAAACTTTTTTTTTTTCGCTTCACGTTCCTGGGACGTGTTTCTTTTAGTCTGTACACATTTTGGTAAAAGAAACTTGTTTCGAAGTTCTGAACCTCTGAATATGCAAGAATAGAACACTTCGGACGAATTCTTGATAGTTTTTTTTTTCTCCTGCTTTTTATTCCCGCATTTATTCTTTTTTTTTTTTTCTTTTGTTACTATCGGCACAGGTGTTTAGGTTGAAAAGACAGCTTTGAACTTCCGAACCACAAAGCATGTGACGAGCAGTGCCTTCTGGCAACCAGTTTCTAACAATGACCATCTACGCAACCTTTTATGCAGTGAAGAGCGACATTAGCTATACATATGCATAAATAATTTCAG